AGCCCGATGCGGGACTCGATCCAGGGACTCCAGGATCATGACCTGAGCCGAAGGCAGTTGCTTAACCAACTGAGCCACCCAGGCGCCCAAGACACCAAACTCTTAAAACACATTTTGTTAGAAATCAGCAGTTTGCCTTGTGGCAAGATATCTTCTGCTAGATATCAAAGGGATTGGACTTGGCAGGTTTATTCATACACAATCTACCTGGTAAGAAAGATAATTCTTGGTAGCACTTTATGCTTATGCTAGTTCTGGATATTTTTGTTACTGATGGGGAGCTAATGACAGCTCTCTTAGGCTCAGCTGAGAAACAGTTATATTTTTGAAGGCCGAATAGATTCTAGGAAAGTCTGGAGAAGGCAGTGCATATTTCCCATCATCAAAGTACTCATTTGTAGTTATGGAATGTGTGTTTTATTTTTTAAATGTGTGTCTTCGTTCATTATTTTCACCTTGGCAGAGGAGAGTTTTATTACCGAAGAATAAAAAATGTTGAGGTTATATGCAGTAAGTAGCCTGCTCATGCACTGGTGACCGACCTTTAACCTGTCTCTTGGCTAGAAGCAACAAAGCTATAGGTATAGATACTTGCCGGATTTTTTTAGGAAACCATTATTTTTCTTACCTCATGAACTCTTAGTGGACCTGTGGTTGTACTTAATAACCTTATATTTATTTGCCTCATACTTAGAATTGCGAATAAAGTTTGAGCTCCATGTCCCTTTCCCCCTCCTGTTTTGGTCAGTGACAAAATATGTATTTTTTTTTTTAAATGTACTGGAAAATGTTGGGCGCCTGGGTGGCTCAGTTGGTTAAGCGACTGCCTTCGGCTCAGGTCATGATCCTGGAGTCCCTGGATCGAGTCCCGCATGGGGCTCCCAGGGAGCCCGCTTCTGCCTATGACCCTCCCCCCTCTCATGTGCTCTCTCTCTCTCATTCTGTCTCAAATAAATAAATAAATAAATCTTTAAAAAAAAAAAAAAAGATACAATCTAAATTCTTAAAAAAAAATGTACTGGAAAATGTAAAGATCAGTAATCAGACCACTTACTAAATGATAGGAGTGGATCATAATTAAGAATTTGTGTTTTCTGTGGGACACACCTTCCTGGCTCAGTCGGTAGAGCATGGGATTCTTGATCTCAGGGCTGTGAGTTCGCTCGAGCCCCACGTTGGGTGTAGAGATTACCTAAAAATAAAATTCTAAAAAATTACTATTTTTTTCTTTTTTCAAGTTCCAAAGAGGCTTTATTACATACAGAGGGGAGGGGGTTCAGTCCTTCTTGGCTGCTGCTTTTTTCCCCCTGGCTGCCAGGATGTTGCTCATTTCCTCTCGGCACGGATGTGTGTCCCCACCCTTTTCTTGATGAATTTGAGGGTGCACTTGTCCTTGGAGACCTTGCGCATGCTGCTCGTGTGGGGAAGTGGTACACCTCTGGGATCATATCCCACACAAACTTGGTGTGCTTGGTGAGGCGCCCCTGGCGGCGGCTCTGCCTCAGCTTGCCCATGTTCTAAGTGACCTTGTGGCCCATGTTGAGGCCCATGGTCATAGGGTAGCACAGAGAGGCTGCTGCTCCTCCATGACTCCCGCGGCAGAGGCCCCCATACTTTTCTAATGTGATTTTTTTCTCCCCCTCTGGCATAAGGAAAGGAAATCCAGAACTCTGCTGAGTTAAAAGGCTCACTATGCCAAAGGTGGCTGTTACCAGCTTTTTTTCTTTGGAGTCACTGGCAAGGCTGAGTTCTTTCAGTCCCTACCTTCCTGATTTTAAGAAGAAAACTGTCATAATTGAGATTTAGTAAGAAATAGAAAGGACATGTAATGTTCTCGTTTGCACATGATTACTGAGATAGTCATCGTCTACAATATAGCATCTCTAGTTACCCTTCCCTTAAGAACAGGTAGCACTAAAAGAACAGATGTATCTCATAGGCTAGATGTGAAATGAGTCTTGGGCTTTTTGCATTCTTAATTTTAAAAACCTACCTCTGTAGGCAATAACTGTTAAATAAATCAAACAATTTTCCAATTTAATTTGCAGTTTTTTCATAGAACCTTCTGTTCCTCTAGTCGAGTGTACAAAAGTGGGTCACACAAAGATTTAAAATTGAATGGTAGTAATTGTTTCATGAGTTTGTGGTTGTTGTTGGTTGTTCTTTTTTTTTTTTTTAATATTTATTTATTTGAGAGAGGGAGAGAGAGAATCTTCAAGCAGATTCCCCACTGAGCGCAGAGCCCAGTGAGGGGCTTGAACTCACAACCTAAGCTGAAACCAAGAGTCAGTTAACTGACCGAGCCACCCAGGCACCCCTGGTGGTTGTTATTCTTTATGTGTTACATGTCATACATATCTTTTTTTTTTTTTTTT